TAGTTATCAATTCAATGATATCCAGATCGCACCACGAGGAGGTTAGTTCCAAATTTGCGATCCAAAAAAATAATATTGAGTTTTTTAGAAAAAGATGGTTATTTAGGAATTAATGGTTATATATACCTCTATAACCAAAAATCCTTTGTGCCGAAATAACCAAAGCAATATGATGGTTTGATTCATTCCATCAAATGTTTTGAGGACTCTCCGAACCAATTATATATACCTCATGATATCCAACCTCATGGTCGGAGTGTTATTTAGAATTAAAATTATCCTTTGTGCCGAAATAACCAAAGCAGTACGATGATCACTGATTGATTCATCAGAGAATAAAGGACTCACATTTTAGGTCTGTTAAGTCTTCGGATCGATAACTAAGAAAAGTTATCACAATTACTTTCTCAAGGTAATCGATTAAGGATTTATATCATCAAATATCCCTGAAAACGTCATTAATAACTCTTTGTTGAAGATTTAATTGATGAATGTGGAACCCAATAAAAACCACATAATATTCTTCCAAAAAAAGGGTATCTTCTTTGGAATGAAAAAATCAAAATTATTATGGAACCACAAATCAAAAGAATTGATGATAAATTTGCTCTATTGAAATAATTATAAAAAATAATTAGTTTAAATTCTAATTAAAAATAACATTGCTTTGAACATAGTTAAATTTCTCTATCTTTAATTCTCATACATATGCTTACAATTTGTTTCCAGAAATAACAAAAATGAAAGTATCATTTTGAAATCCAATATCTCAAAATCCAATGATTCAATTTAAATGAAAATACTCCATTGAGTTTGTTCTAATTTCACAAATTCAATGGAGTATTTTCATTTAAATTGGATCATTAGATTTTGAATATTGAATTTCAAAATGATACAGGGAGTGATAAGAAATATTGGATGTTTCACGCATTTTTAAATTGATCTATATCATTGAATCTTGTGTTTTTTTTGATAATTATTTATAATAAATCATTTACATATAGTGATAATCTATAACCAAAACAAATCTCATCTTCATATGATGCATCCAGGAGTTATAAAGTTATGCACAATTCCCTTTCAAAAAATCTTTCTTTAAATTTTACCACATAATATGCCATGAAAAAGAATTAATAGAAAGTCAGAAAAATGGAATTATTATTGCAAAAAAGCTTGGCCACACACATACTGAGATCTCTAATATTGTAGATTATTGTGTGATCTGCATATTAGAAGTACACAAGCTTAAAAATTGTCTAAAAAACAATCAGATCATTCATGAGAGGAGATGTAAGAAATATTGAATGATTTTTTTTAATTAATTTTATTTATTTATAGAAGATTATATTTATTTATTTATAGAATGATTCAGATATTTATATAATAATTCTAATACTTTGTATAATCTGAAAAAGAGTCTAATGATGAGAATTTTTGTTTTGAATTACTGAAGTCTTGAGATAATTGCATGCAGATTTGTTATAAATTGGTAGATGATTTGATAATTTTTTAGATGATTTTTTAAGCTTATATACTTCTAACATATAGATTATAAAATAACTTACAGTCTTAGAAATCTCAGTATGTATATGGTCAAGTTTTTTGCAATAATAATTCCATCTTTCTGACTTTCAGTTAATTTTTTTCTGTGATATATTATGTGGTAAAATTTAAAGAATAATTTTTTAAGAAAAAATTATGTATAGTTTTATAATTTCTGGATGTATCATATGAAAATGAGATTTGTTTTGGTTATAAATCATTACTATATGTAAATAATTTATTATAAAATAATTATTAAAAAATGTAAGATCTAATAATATAAATTAATTTAAAAATATACAAAATATTTAATATTTCTTATCATCTCCTGTACTTTTATTTTTGTTATTTCTGGAAATAGAATATATTATAGAGATGTATATATTTCATTATTTTAAAATAATAAAGAAATAATATATCTTACTTATAAATATATCACATTGGAATTTCAAAAAGCTATTAGATATATATTAGAAATAAAAAATTTAAAAAGAATACTAATTAATAAGCTATTAGGATTAAAATAATTCTAGAGCCAATATTCTACTTAATGAAAATGAATTGTGAATTGTATATCAAGAAATCTAAGTAATTAGATTAATTAATATATTAAGTTATATTATATAATTAATTAGATAAAATTTTGCAATCTAATCTCTTTTATTTCTTTTACAAAACAAGATTTTATCTATAATATTCATTAAACTTGAAGAAATCTAAAAATTTGATACAGAAATTTATAGATCAGTTCAGGAAGTTATGATAATTAAAACAGGCAAAAAGATCATTATCAAAATAATTCAAAAGCATAATATAAAAAAGAATTGATTATATATTTATATATAATTGACTTCATAAAAAAAGTATAACAGATACTGAATTATTTAATCATATATATAATTGTAGAGTATTTACTAAAGCTGATATTATAGAAGATACAAAAACTATACTTACAGTAATAACATATCTTTATGTGAATTATATTATATATTATAATAATTATTATATATAATTATTATTTATACTTTGAAAGATTATTTATTATTATAGAGGAATATTAAAAGTATTATACAGTTAAATTTAATTAATTTAATAAAATTATTAATATGGAACTATCTATATAATTCTTATATCATATTTATCTATATATTACTTAAATAGATTATTATTTATTGTTTTGATTTAATTTTTTACAGATTATAAAATGTGATTTAAAATTTTCTATCATTTTCAATTTTTCATGTAATAGATCTTGATAAAGAATTGCTTTTATATAAAAGGAAAGTATTATTATAGTCAAAAAATTAGATCACAATAATACAAAAATTATAAAAGTTGTAAAATATTATCAAATAATAATTATAAGATATTTTGCAACTTATGAATCAGAAGAGTTTTTCAAAAAATGATCAGATTAATTATGCTTGATTAACAGTTAAAAAATAAAGACTAAAGACTATGATTCTCAAAAACAAGAAAATAAGACAAAAAAATCTGACAGAAATTGCTAATATATATTCTGTTAAAATTAGCAAAAAAATATCTGTATTAATAATTTATCAAGTATTTCAGAAGGAAAATTTACATTCTTGTATTTCTTAAAAAAAATCTTTAATTTTAGTAATTAATAAATCCAAATGACTTGCTTAGATAATAGAAAGAAGATACTAGACTTTAGAAGATTAGAAAAAGATAGTCTGATTAAATAAGTCTATATTTTCACAGTTTTAAAAATCTGATTGAGAAAGAGTGTAAAGAAAGCCAGAAGAGGAATTTCATGAAGATTGCATTGTATCAATAGTAAAATATTCTTCACAAAGAATATTTTGAACATGTTTTTTCTTTTTAAAATTAGAACCTATTATTTTATTTAAAGATTTAGTAACTGAAAATATATACAAAGAGATACTTTTCACTTATATAGTTCTCATACTCAAAGCATTTTTCTGGCAAACCAGAAAAAAATTTATTTTCAGAAAAATAATATACCAGTTTACATATCAAAGATTGCATGAGAGTTTCTTCATTCTCAAGATATAGAGGTGCTTCAATAGCCTGCCCAAAGTTCTGATCTCAATCCAATTGAGAACTTGTGAACTGCAGTTAAAGTAGAAATTCAAAAACACAATCCTTAGCCTTTAAGTCTTAGTGAACTTGAAAAAGTAGTGAAAGATATTTGAGAAGTGATCCTGAAAAATGTATATCATGACTTGGTACAATCAATGCCAAATAGAATTCAGACTGTGATTGCTGCTAATGGAGGACATACAAAATACTAAAGTACTAATTCCAAATATAAAATAAAATTAACTGTTGTCTTAATAAAATGTTTTTTGTTGCTAAAGTAAAAGTGTGCAATACTTTTGATACCCCCTGTAGATTTAAAACCAGAGAATTTATCATATAAGAGTCTAGCACCTGATTCCACTCTTGTACTGGATAATTGATAAATAGAACAAATTATAATATCAATCAATTTAAAAATGTAGTAATTCATTTTTTGCTAAATTTTTAAACTCATGAAAGAGGACGATGATATTCTAACTACTTATTGTGGTTCACCTGGTTACGTCGGAAAATTTTTTTTACGACCTCAATCATCTTAGTATATCATCAATATAATAGTAATTTAATACATATTGGAGTATCAGGTATTTGAAATGAGCCTTTTTTTTAGTAATTCTTATAATTTTCTTAATTAATAAATTGCATTGACCTCATTTATAGGATTATTACATATGCGCTGCAAGTATGTTCAGATGAGCTTTATGCGAATGGAATTAAATTCTCGATTTAATTTTCTCAAATGAATATAGATTATGTGGTTAGGCACCGGTTCGTAATGAGGATCGATTTGAGGAAAGAAATGGCTTACGTGTAGAGTTTCACAATCGCTATTGGAGAAACATTTTTATCCAACATATTCTTCTCTTTAACAAGGAATGATATTCTTTTTATAAATATTAGGCCAAAGATTTTATTATCCACCTACTAAATTACGATCCGAAAAAAAGGCTGACCGCAGAACAAGTGCTAAACATAAATGGCTTACGGGTAAAACGGCAATGGACATTGACTTACTGATTGACTTTGTCGAGAACTTTAATGCTCGTAGAACATTTGGAAGAGCGATGGAAGTTGTACAAGCGGCGAACAGACTCGAGAAAAATGCTACAAAGAAACCTGATAATGAGGATGATGAGGAAGAACTACAAAATGTGCAAGAAAAATCAAATCATAATCAAAAGCAGGCCCAAGATATCGAAACGGATCCAGATGTAAGGATAATTGAAGTATAAGTTGATAGATTGATAAATTAATGAATTGTATATTATTCATGTACTTGTAAGATTCAATTATCGTTATATATTTATATTCTGTGTTCGATGTAATATAGCATAGTAATTGTTAAAGATGTGCATGTTAAATATACAGTAGTAAATTTATTCATTTTGATTAAATAGCTCATTAACGATAATTATATATTCATTAAATGCAAATGTTAGATTGTACTGCAATTACAGTATTACTTTACTATCATATTTCCCTTGCACCTACGCCATTAATCACTAGCAACCGGATCCACTTCATTTCCTGCATTCGGATAACAAATAAACCATTTTATCATTAAAACGAATCTATAGTTTGACGAAAATTTTGCATTAGCCGTGTAATAAATTTTGGATTATGCTTTCATTAGGATCTTTATATAAATATTCGGCGGAATACATAGAAATGGTCTTTCCATGGGTCCCATGCCTTCATCCACGATAAGTGGTACATTTAATTCTAATTTCATGAATGTTTGATGCGATATCTAATTTATAGTCAATTATATAATCATACCCATTTTTTCTTCTTCGATACTTACGATCACCAACTAAAAATTGAGTAGCAACGACGACATTACAACACATAATACATGTACATCGGCCGAAACTACATTTGCTCAAAAAAAATCAAAAATGTTAACACTACGGAATTTAAACTAAATGTCTTTGCTAAAGAGTTTATCCCAAGTTGGCATCCTCAACCGGCTCAAACTCCCTCCGAGCCAGTAGTAGAGAAAAGTGAATCAGAGAACTTGGCTGACATACCTGTGGAAAATGCTCCAACGCCGCCAAATCCTGCCGCTAATCCTGCACCAGTGGCTAAAAAAGAGATGGGAAAGAAAACCGTGTCTTATAGCACTACCGTTTCCACCTCTACTGCACAAATAGCAAAAACAACAGAACAGACGAACACGTTGATGCTGATCTTTATGGCAAAGAACATTTAAACGTTGTGTTCATTGGTCACGAAGGTTCATATGCTAATGACTATTTTTCTCCGCAACCATGTTTAAATAATATATCTGGAATTTATTTATTTTTAGATGCTGAAAGTCGACGATGGGTGGTAATTTGTTTTAAGTATTTAACTTAGCTCATTTTCATCTTTAACTGTATTAAATACTTTATTTTACATGTTTAAATCCTATGCTTAAGATTTTTAACGGGAATCGTGGATCAAGGATCTATGGAAAAATACGAGAGAGAAGCTAAAGAACAAGGACGAGAGTCTTAGTACCTTTCTTGGGCCCTTGATACTAATAAGGAAGAACGTGCCAAAGTAAATCATCTTATTGTCTGTTTCTTTTTATTCTATAATCTTATTCCCGCTAAAATATATGCGTATTAAAAAAGGGAAAAAAACAGTGGAATGCGGTAGAGCTTATTTCGAGACAGAGATGTTCCTGGCCACAAAAATTATGTTCCAAGTATGATAGGAGGAGCTTTCCAAGCCGATACAGCAGTCTTGGTAAGGTGATTAACTTAATTATGCACATAATATTCTTGTATAAATCGATTATTTACATGCCTTAATTATTTCACAAAGGTGATCTCCGCTTGTAAAGGTGAATTCGAAACAGGATTTGGAAGAGGAGGCCAAATTCGTGAACATGGTTTGCTGGTCAGAACTTTGGGTGTGAGTAAACTCATAGTGGTTATTAATAAAATGGATAATCCCACCGTTTGTTGGTCTAAAGCAAGGTAAACAATAATTATTTAATAAGCCTCGGATTTGATTTAATAATTCATTCAGCATTGAAGATAATGTTTATTTATTAAAGATATGATGATTTCTTAAAGGAAGTGGATACAATCTTAATAATAATACACGGATTGATTGATTTATTAACAGTTGATAGATCTTCAGTTCATGTCTGTTTCTGGGGATCGGTTAAAGCGTAGTCCATCATGTGATCCGTGTCCAATAGGGGGTGCGCAAATTTTTTGATCAACCCGGCAAAACAAATCCAATGCCTAAATCTGTCTTGGAATATTAATTAAAATTGTCGGGACTGCAATTTTACATACAATATTGTTTTCTGCCCTAACCGTTACCCTTACCCAGACCTTATAAATCATAAAAATCATTAAAAGTAAACTCTGAAAATTTAAAGGGGTTGATCACATGATGGACTACGCTTTAACCGTTCTCTGTTTCTGGCTAATTTAAAAGAGCGTGTTTCTAAAGAAATTTGCTCTTATACAGGTAATAATAATTTTCTTTTAACAAATTTTAATAATTATTAAATAAATTAATCATCATTGAGATATTAATAAATTATTTATATACAAAACCATCTAAAGTGGTTCTTCATTACTGGAATATATGGATAATATGCAAGCGTTGGATAGAAAAATCAGCATGCCATTAGTGATAACGATCATTGAAAAGTATAAGGCAAGTATGAATCCCAAAAAGAAATTTTTTTATATGTTTGTTACTCTTTTTCTTATTGTTCATTCATCAATGCAAACAGTGATGGTCGGTAAAGTAGAATCGGGAAAAGTTAAAAAAAAACACCAAACTATTTAATTAGAGTGTTTGTGAAGACAAAATTGATGGTTCTTTGTTAAAGAAGCTTGAACCATTATAGGATGGCACCGTGAACTTTGATCCTGTGTCGCTTTTTGTATTGGCATCATGTTATGAGTTCTTTGTGATTACACTAAGTTGATTAAGAAATATTACATTATCCTTACGGACAGTGATCTGCTTCTTTTATATTGAGGCCATGATTAAAGTGGTTATTTATAGCTACCAAGAATATCTGTGGATGAAGAGCTATTTTTGTAGAGAAATGATATGTTTCTCTTGTGCATAAGGGGAATTATACTGGCGATTAAATTGAGGCCTATGCAGAAAGATTCTGTAGAGATAGCCAATAGGACTGGTTTGGTTAACCATCTAACGTGTTGGCGTGCTTGTAAGCGTAGATTTGATAGGTGGCCTACTAAGCTAGAATTTGTGGAGTCGATAAAACAAATAAGTTCCAATATTTAAAACCTAAATGAGAAGCAAATCGTAAAAGTAAATACCTAAAGATGAAGCAAGCATGTACTTGCATTTAGATAAAGGAGAGAACTTACGATGATATCCATTATCCTGATAACTACATCTGACATCCCAAAATAATTGTACATGTATTTTATTTGTTATAAAAACGTATCACATTTTCCTTTTAGGTTGAACGAATCAGATTCGGGTGATTTATGTGATAATGACATTACAAATTTCAGTTTATATGTACATATATATACAATACTTACAGAAAGTATTGTCCGATTCAAAATTATATAGTAAAACATATAAAAAATGGAAAATTTCAAGCTATATATATTCATACATATTCATGTTTTTTCTACTGATTATTTTTAAATTTTATATTGGTGTAACCAGACTAGTTATATCAACTGTCGCGAGCAGTACTGAAATTTTGACTGTATATATTACATAATAAGATAACCACTCATTGGGTCATCGATCTCAATTTTTTTATTGGTATCGACTGAAACTTGGTGTCTTCTTATGAAAATAAATATGTTATTTTTTTATTCCATAAATTTCATTGATATAACGAGGTTTTTGGCTTAGGGAAGTCTAACTTATTAAGGGTTGCCATGTATCTATGCTGCCCAAAAAGCGAAAAGTCCATCTAAGCTATGCATGAGCGAAAAAAAAGAATATGATAAATTAAATTGGCAATAAAGCTTTTTGAAGACTCAAAATCTAATTTAATTAATTTAAAAGTGGCGAAATATGAATCAGCGGCCAATGAATCAGATAAATTGAATAAATCAGATGAATATTAGAATAACAAAGCGTTTGATCAAGAATTACATGATGTTTTTCAACTATGCTTCAAGCAGCCAAATGACCAAATACTTTTAAAACTTCCAATCACAAAGCAGTTTATATCAGAGCTGCTTAATTCACCATCCATAATAAAAACCGAGCAATGAGATTGGCTACCAAAAATTCTGCGAAAATTGATACATTTTACTCCAACTGTCGATTTATAAAAATTTATGGTACTATAAATTTATTTATTCATATTGAAATTTATATTCACTACATTATAATAATATTTTAATTTCTCCACTTTTTAGATGTGATCCAAAAAAATAATCAAAAAAAAACTGCAAGACAAGCATAAAATTTATTGCTTTTCTTGGATCAACAAATTCCTGAAGAAGCTTGTACAATCATACATCCTAGAAATAATCAGGATGACTATTAGAGTAACAAGAATATTACTAAACAACTTAAAGAAAAAGCAATTCCAATATTCAATATAATATATCTAATTATATTGCAATTATTGCTTTTAAAAATAGCATTAATCATAATTTATATGCTGAAGATGCTTTATTAGCTAAATAAATGAATTATATATCAGGTAATACTTAATCAAAAATGTAAAATACTATAATATATAATAAAAGATCTTATCAATAATTTTTAAAGATAAAATAGCCAAAGGTTTACAAGTTATTTTAAATGAAAAAGAATATAATACTACTAAATTGTGAAAAATATATCAAGATTTTTATTATATATCTTTTATAAAAAAATTTTACTAATAATAATAAACTTTTTTAAAATATTATTTCTTAAATTTTATTATATAAAATTTATTAAATTAATATAAAAATTATCAGTATTCTATTAAAGCATTCTATTATCCCATTCATTTGTGGATGATAAGGTGAAGAAAATTTATGTCAAGTATATATAAAAGACCAATCTGAAAATAATAATTATTATACAGTTTGTATTATATTATTAGAATCAGACTTTGCAAATTAATAATTATTACTTCAAGAAATTGTAAAATCAGTTGAACATGAATTATTTTTTATCTAAAATTTAATTATATTGAAAAATTTGAGAACAAACAAAAAATATACATGTAAATATTGTGATTATTCTTTTAATAATCTTAAAAAAACAGTTCTAAATACTCTTGAATCTATTTCTTTAATTCAAATAAGATATTATTTTCAAAGAACATTTTGTTATATGAATACTTATAGATTAGAATTATTTGTAAAACAGATAATTTTGCAGTAAGAAATATAGATCTCATGTAAAATTATTTTGTTAATAATTGTAAACAAGATAAAATATAATATGAATAGTTTTAATTTATAAACTTATAATTTGAATAATATTTAGATTTAAAATAAAAATATAGAACAGAGAAAACTTATTTATAAGAAATAAATAAATATGAAATATAAATAAATTATAAATAATTAATCAATAAAAATATATATAGATTAAATAGAATTAATTATCTTGATTTGCATTTTCAGAAAGCTACTAATTATAATTCAATAAATAATAATAATTATAAATTTAATAAATAATAATATAAATATAATAAAGATTGAATAAATTAAAATATAAAAATATTAATTAAAATCTAATTAAAAATATTAATAATCTAAATTAATAATTATATTATATATAATAATCATCTGTGTGATAAAATATAAAATTTAATTAATTAAATTCATGAATAATCAACTGTATATCTAATATGAAATTAATCTTCAAGTTATACAAAAGATAATTTGTTATACAGATAGTGTAAAAATAAAGATCTAATACTAAAGGAGATAACCCAATTCAAATTGTTATATCTCATAAAAGAATTCCAGATACAGTCTGCCCTCTTTGTTATCAACATCATGGGACCAGACTATTTGGTTGATATATAAGAGGGTTGATAATAATAAGATCAGGATTAGAATTAGGATTATTAGATCACGTGTATATTTAAAAATGTATTAATTATCATTTTAACAAATTACAATATAATTTATTATTATCAATTTAAGACTTTTAAAACTATATAATTGCTTTACTTTTTGTCTCTCTCTATATAAAACTTATTACTTCCTATACAAACCTCTTTTTACTAAGAGTCTTTTCTCTCTCTAATAAAGAACTCCATCAACTTTTTTTGTTGTTTTGTTTCAAATACATTCAATTGAATATGTTGTAATAAACTTTGCAATCTTGACAAGTTCTACTTCTCCACAAATTTTACTGGATCTTGTTGCTCTACATATCTCAAAAGTAGTTTACATTACTCTAACGCTACAGAATGTGGAATATTCTCAATCTCAATATTACTATCTTCATCACTATTCTCAGAATCAGATATTTGGAGAATCTCTTATATAATGACTTCTTTATCGATAATAACTTCTTCTGTTTCAATCACATTATCGATGTAAATATAATTGTTGGCTTGTATGCTATTAGAAACTCTAGAAATGAGTTGTTCAATTTCAGTTTCTAGTCTTGCATTATTTTTATATTCTCATTCATTTTGTTCATCTGAGTTTGGCTAATTTCACTCAATTAATGACACTATTTCAGTTTTTCACCAGCAATTGATAATCATCTAAGGAGTTACATTTCTCTATACTTTGGAACTAAAATCAATTACTTTCTTGAAATTGAGATGAAGTATTTCTTCTTCTGTGTCAATGGCTTGTAAAACTCTTTGAAGATATAACTTTCGATATTGAGTCTTGAATGAGTTTATTATGCCAGCATCACATAGTTATAAATAAGAAGTAGTATTGGGTGGTAGAAAATGAATTTTGACATACTTCAATTTCTCATTAACTATGTGAGAGAGAGCATTATCAGCTAAAATCAGAATTTTTCTATGCTTGAGATGGCTAGTA